GAAATTGGAAAAAAAAAAAAAAAAGAAACCCACATTTTCAATTTTGATGGAGTGCAGCATCAAACTTCAATTTCCCTGTCAGTATTAAGCAAGCTGATGAGATTTTTCAGTTTTCAAGCTGGAAAGCTTCATAGCCATTATGGAAGACATCCTAAATCAAAAAAAAACATCCTAAATCATTGCTAAATCAAACAGATTAGAGTTTGCTGTGTTTGTGGGAAATGCAGAGCCAATAATCTGCTTTCTGTGGAATATTTTTGCTTGTTTTCATTGTGGTACTTAAGCAATTTCAGCTGTTTTCTGCTGTCTGATTAAGAACTGCTTAGATCAGGGAATGGGCTGAAAGTTTAAGTCTGGCTCAACCATGACACCATTGCCCAGCCAAAGCTAAGACAGAGTAGCTGACAATAATGATAAATATATTTCAGATTTATCAATATTATTGTTGCTGAGCCAGCTTGAATTTTACAAAGAATTTCTTAGGCCTGATTGGCAAGAACAAGTTTTCATGGAAAATCTTTGGAATTAGATCATAACTTGGTTTTAAAGTCTGCTGGAAATCATCCTGATGTTTTACAAACTGTGTGAAAGAGAAGATTTAATGTTCTGAGGAGTTTCAAATGTTGTTCACTTCATCAAAAACCAATACAGGAATGTGATGGTTACCCTTTATTTTTTTCTGTATTGCACTGGGGACATGAAGTATCTTTTTATAATTTACCAGACATTTATAATGTACAGCACTTCAAAAGACAGTGTTTTATAGTTATCTGCAATTCCCTCCTGCAGTACAAATTAAAACTTGCTGAACTTTCTTGGAAAAGCATCTCCACATAACATTTCTTATGCTTCATGATGTCTGTTTGGAAAGTCAAAATAGCTTCCTAGAGAATATTTTTCATGTTAATCTTTCTACCTGAATTTATTTGGCAGTGTAATTCTGTGAAAGTTGATGAGTTTGCTTATATAACTTCTGTGTACAATGCTTTGAATATCCCAATCATCTCCAAGTAAAACCATTTTCCTTCCTCTTCCCTCAAGCATTTTCTACTGAACCTGGAAAAATGGGGATGTTTGACTCCTCCATTAACATCCCTGGTGTTTACATCGTTCCTGCAACACAAAGCGAGAACTGGGAGGCAGCACCAGGAGCAGGCTTATGGCCCAGCATGTGGGGAGTGCTTAGAAAACCACACCAGACAGACAATTTACAGCAGTGGGGGTTATTTTTCACTCCAGGACTTTTGATCTGGCTGCAGGGTGTTTATCAGGACTGCTTTGCTTGGCATCTACATTTAATAAGGCAGCTGAAGAATGATGAAGGCTGCTTTCATGACAATTTTCTAAACAAAATAGAATGCTTGCTGCTCAACAAAAGCTTTTTTTTTTTCCCATTTAGTCAAATATCAGAACAAGAAATAGCTGCAGAGTTTTATTAGTTGCAGATTACTTGCCCAGACAGCTGTGCTCTCAGCATGTCATCAAAAAAAACCTGCTCTGAGAAGCCAAAGCAGCCTCAGAAGCTGATCAATTTAAACACAGAGCAAAAGTTGTGGCTCACCCCGAGGTATTAAGGGTGTTAAATGCTCTGCCAAGGCACAGGGCCATCGCTGTCACAGCCCTGCAGAGGCTCCTGCTGCTGTTGGGATGCTGTTCCTGCAGGCTGGGAGGGCAGAACGCAGCTGAGGGCAGTGCTGTTTGTTAACAGCTCCCAGGAAGGTGTTTACAGCAGCTCAGGGAAGGAAGATGGCTGGGACCAGGTGTGCTTTCCAGGTAAAATCCTTTGGGAAGAGGGGAAGAGCTCCACTGGAAAAGCTCTGAATCCCTGGTGGAATCTCCTTTGCACTCCTTCCAGAACAGGCAGCAGGGCCAGCCTGGAGCAGCCTGGGCTGTGGGAAATGTCCCTGCCATGGCAGGGGTGG